AGACAGATATCCAAATGCATGTGGCGAGACTTACGCAACGTCAATACAGCTCGTATTGAAGAAGTGGTCGAGCGGAACCAGGTCTCCGATGTTTTTGCCAGGGATCTGTCTGCCAGAATATAATTCTATCTATCAAGAAAATTGTATTGTATCATGTATTGATGATTCTTTCAGGAGAAAGAATGTATCTAAAATATATATGTTTTTCAGATTCTAAATGTAATAATTTGGCTATCAAAAACCAATTTTAAAAAACACTAAAACAGGAACACCCAGCGCTAAATACATTATATGGAAAAAAAATATATAAAACAATAAATATATTTCTTGTCAAGTAGATCAAAATTGCCCCTTAGATACGCCATGTAATTTAAATTAATAGAATAAGATATTACGGATTAGTAAGCTGAAGTGGCAGTGGGCCGGCCATATAGCTCGAAGAACCGACAACTGATGGGGAAGAAAGGTTCTAGACTGGCAGCCTCGTACCGGTAGGCGAAGTGTAGGGCGACCCCCCCACGAGATGGAGTGACGACCTGGTAAGACATGCAGGAAGTCGATTGATGCAGCTGACTCAGGACCGTGCTTTGTGGCATTCCTTGGGGGAGGCCTATATTCAGCAGTGGACTTATGAAAGGCTGTAATGATGATGATGATGATGATGATGAAGATATTAAAAGTTAAAAAATCACTCGCAAAAAATAATTACAACATAAACACAAACTGATTGCGGAGGACGCTCAGAGCCTGTAAATTAAGTACAAGGGGCGCGTCGCGAAGCCCCCTATAATTAATTTTCCATTACATAGATTGTCTCATAGGGAGATTTTGCCAAACGTGTGGCAGGCGAGTTGGCTACCGCATTTTTTTAATTATTTTAATTTGTTATCAGGATATTCTTACAACCTGTGAACTGCGGTTGGCAACCCGGTTGCTAGTCGTGGTACCTATAGAAAATATCCAATTACAACATAAACACAAACTGATTCCGGAGGACGCTCAGAGCCTGTAAATTAAGTACAAGGGGCGCGTCGCGGAGCCCCCTATAATTAATTTTCCATTACATAGATTGTCTCATAGGGAGATTTTGCCAAACGTGTGGCAGGCGAGTTGGCAACCGCATTTTTTTAATTATTTTAATTTGTTATCAGGATATTCTTACAACCTGTGAACTGCGGTTGGCAACCCGGTTGCTAGTCGTGGTACCTATAGAAAATATCCCCCCTATGAAGTAACCTATGGCCAATGGCAATAGCATCACGGCAATCTATGGGAAGCCTATGTTCAATGGTGCACTTTAATAGGCTGTAAAAGTAACGGTAGCGGTTATCAGGAAGATGCTGCGCTGCCGATGTTCTATTTCAGTTTCCCTATGTCGCCTCTTACGGCAACCATGGGACAATAAGGGAAAGTACATATTATTACACCGCCACTACACGGAGGGAACCTGAACAGGAGATTGCAGCAGCATGTTACTAAATTCTCAATTAAAAATTACAACTGAAAACTATTAAAAACTGCGGTTACCATTAAGCAAATCTGTGGGGGAGGCCTATCTCAGTAGTGCTCTTTTGATAGATTGTAACGATAACAGTAAATGGGACCACCATGAACTATTTAAAATAATAAGAATCTTTAAAATCAATTCAAGATATTGTGTAACATACATGCGAATTGAGAACCTCTTGTTCTATGCAGGATTCGAATCCGTGGCCCGCAGCGAACCTCTTAGCAACAGTGCTACGGTCATGTTAAATAATGTAATATTTCATATTTTTATGATTATGAAAAACTTGTCAAGCGTGAGAATGTGTTCCTTATTCAGTACAAACGTTATGAAACTATTAGCGGTTAGCAACCGCTATTAGCGGTGCTGGGATTAGTGGTGACGGGAATAGTGCACGCAATTGAGGGAGGGCTGGAGGTGCCATTCATACTAGGTAAGACACATCATTTTATTTTATAACGCGGATATTTGCGAAGTAAATTTTTCTAAAAGCTTTTAAGTTTTGTTTATATCATCACAGATTATCTAATAGTTACTACGTAAATGGTCATGTGACGTAGGCTCAGTTCCACAATTTTCCATTTAGCAGCAATCCTATAGGTGATCTCAGCTTTCATGTCAATGTCAGCTATAATAGTGAGATAATAGTACTAATAATTAAGCATTGCATTCTGATGGTATTCTTCAAGTTTTTTAAATAATTTTCCGACAAGGTAAATATTTTTAGTTTTTTAATTATTCCCTGGTCATTTATGACTAAGAAAGAAATTTAGAAATCGAAGTTTATTTCAAAGCTTTTTAAGCAAGTAATTTATGTTGCATGCTGATGATTATATCAGCGACAAAAACAAACATAAAATCGGCATAAATTGTGGTTTATATTGCAAAATATGTTACTTTATTTCAAACCCGTAAACTGGACATGTTAAAAAGTTAACTATCCCTTGAAAAAAGTTCATGCCGTATATTACCTATAGGTACATATCTTTATTTTTATATGAGCTTTTGAATTGTCAGTAATCCCCAAGTTTAACGGTGGAGACCTGCGCTTGCTGTATCGACCGCTAAAATTCTAGAGATGGGCTTTCGTCGTATATCGAAGATATATATATGAGAAAAAAAATTAAATGATATGTATTCCTTTTTATTTTTTCAATGTCATGTGTAAATAATTAATTTAATTAAATAATTACGAGACTTACTCATAAGCGTTAGGTTCTGTAATTTATGATAACATTTGTTCGTTTTGATGTTTTTGGCGGAATTTGGATTTTAGGTGGCAATTAGGTACTTTCCATTACATTATTTTTGCCAAGCAGTTTTTCGAGATAGAAACCACAATTTTAACTATTTATGCCGCTACACAACTGTGAAGTGCCTCGATGCGATAACGCCCTGTAGCCTTCTTTATTGAAGTTGATTACATAAGGACATTGGTTGCAGTAGCCACCACCATCAGGTGAACTGTTAGCTCATTTGTCACTTTAAAAAATATAAAAATTAAAGAAAAACTGCACTAAAACTTTAATTACGTTCTATAAACTGAAGCTAAGCCGATGGGCACTTTTACATTCACCAGAAAATCACCAGCACGGCGCTGGTGCCGGCACCGGCCTGGTTGCCGGGGAAGCAAAAATTCATAGCATGTGTTTCCACTTACCGACGCCGGCGCCGACACGGCGTTGACTCACACCGGTGCCGTCACCGGCGCCGGGACAGCAAGCTTCGCGATCGATGCCGGCCGGTAAAACTGCATGTGTATAATTGTGTACGTATTGTACACGTGTGCGTGTGCGCGGGGCGAGGTAAAAGGGACGCGATGAGATTGAGACTCGAAATTGACTTGTGAAATGATAAAATGTCTCCTCGCTCATGCTGAAGTAGTTGAAATATTTTTGGGGGTTCATTTTCAACTTTTCAAATGGGGTATACTATGTTCTTTTTAAGATTTGATGAATTCAAAATTTGATTTTTGGGCGTTGATTATATTTTCGTCTTTAAGAGATATAAAATAAATACGACGACTTGACGAGACTGAGAAATGAGTTGTAGAACTGAAATCCGTTTTAGTACTTTCCAAAAACCGACCTTAGATCGGCACCGGCACTGGCACAGTAGTAAAACGAAGCCCTGGCACGGGTGCCATGCCGGCGCCGAGCTTGAGTTGTGAGTTGATTCCGCATGAGTAACACTAAAGTGGCACTAAAGCCGCTTACACACGGTCCATTTTGCTTTACGTCCTACCAAGATCACGCAATTTGCGCGAAGAACACAGGATATTGGCGGGATGTACAGCACGACAGACCGTATACGAAGCGCTTAAGCTTGAGACAGTGAATTCAGAAGTGGGGTTGTGTTTTACTTGTTTTTTTACCTTTCCGTTACTTTTTTTGGCTTACTTTATTATACGTTACGTCGTTACATGCTTAGGTTTTAATAGAATTTAGTTAAAAGTATACCTCAAGTACTATCTACATAATATTTTTTATTAGCAGTTTATATTACCTTCGATGTTTCTATTTTTTTTTTCTACTTCATTCAATTTAATTGATAAACGATTTAACAATGATAAATGTTGGTGACGAAATCCTTAAATTATTATATATTTCGCTACTTTTGTCAATATTTCATAATCTACGTTTTAAATTTATTATCGTATTTTAGGTACCAACGTTACCATTCAGTATTTCTCATTTTATATTTGGATAAACCAAATAAACCATTTGTCTAACTTGACAGACAATAAGGCGCTGCACAAACGTGGACACTTTTTGTTACCGACACGGCACACTATCACAGACAACCGTAGTTGCTGTGCCCGGTAGCGGCAATCAGACACAGTCGCCGGTTGCTACTTCTGGTCACTGGTAACAATTCGTTGCTTGTTTTCCGTCAGTTTGGGAGGTTACTAATTAGGTAACCTCCGAGGAGGACGATGACTCGGAAGTGGTCTCGAGAAATCTTGGTAGCACTGCGAGGTTGCTGGTTCCAGCAAATATTGCCCCCGGGACGTGCTATTAGTACAGCAAAGCGATGGAGTGGCCCCGGTTGCATTCCGAACGGACACTTTTTGAGTGACGGTCGTTATGTGTCAAGTGGAAGCAACTGGACACAAAAATAGTCTGCGTCTGCACAAGGAATGGCTGATTTCATATTGATTACATGAAAATAAAATATTCACCGGTAGCTTGTATCCCACATAAGATACAAAAGTGTCTACGTTTGCGCAGCCTTTAAAATTTATATTGTGCGAATGGCTTTATTATATAATATTTGGGGAATGTCAAACAATGGAGAAATTTTCATAATAAGTACAAATTCCTATCGATAGTGAAAGTCAGTGCCTAAAATTCAAGGGCTGTTTGGCGGCACAGCGGCGCGGCAGTGGTGGTCCGACGGACGCGCGGGCGGCGGCGTCTCGACGCGGCCTAACGCCGCGACACCGCGTACACTAGTCTCGAAGTTGAAGCTTGCCATCACCTTAAACTTCACAATGGGCCAAATTGCAGGCGCCGAATGCGCTCCAAATGATGACGACGAAGAACCTCGCATACACGTCAATCCCACTGAACAATCGCTGGTAAGAAATGTAAGATTACATCTACGTGTGGTTGTGAAATAATTTAGGTATTGTGATATTTGTTTTGAATAAACATTAAATAATCACGATGATTACAATATTAATTCATAATAAACATTTACAATTCATCTCATTAGTAGGTATGAATAAAGAACCATCTTTTAACGTTACATAAACATCCGACCTAATTTTATTTGATTTTGGGCAGATATTCTTATTTCATTTTGTTTATAAATTGTATATCTAACAGTAAAACACAAAAAGCAAACGGGTAAATAGTTCATCTGATGGTAAGTGAATGCTATGGCCCATAGAAATTTACATCGATCCTCGCTCAAAAATCAAAAAGCAGATGCGTTGTCACTCTAAAGAACTAAGATGGAATATCTTCTTACTGGTCGAAGTGGCTCCAGTTCTCGTCATTCACCATACCAAACACAGCAGCATTAAGCTTGTATTTCACGCTGGTATTCTATGTGAGCGTGGACTCTTTCCGGTCGAGTCGGCCAAGGCGTGCTGCAGCCATAATATGCCTCAGCGTAGAACCACCTGACGGCGTGACCACGTTTCATTTATAAAAAAATATGATAATATTTTAAAAATTAATTATCTTCTCATTTATGTCTGTAAATAAAGGGCTCTGTTTTTTCTCCTATACGAAGAGTGCTGGAGAAAATTACTTATACAAAAAGTCCAAAAAGAATGTCACTTCGCTGGTTCTTGCAGCCATTTTTAATAGGTCAGTAGACTTCACCCTCACTTGTACGTACAATCATATTTTAATCAGCAGAGTGTACGTACACTCTGCTGATTAAAATATGAGGCCCTGACCAAAGAGAAAGTAATCACTACGCTTGGCCCCGATGACCTGCAACCGAAATGATGGACACAAATCAGTCTAGTCTATAGTTGAATCTCAGTCACACAGACTAGTTGCATAAGGCTGCATTACTACCAGAGCTGTAAGATGTATTTAAGCGGTGCATTAGGAAAAAATCTACTTACTTCATTTTCCAAAACTCTGACCTTAGCGGAGGAAGGTCTTTGTATATAGAAAAAATTTGGCGGTATATCACGTGCCCCAATAACTAGTTTCGAATTTAACGACAAACTAGTAATTTTTCGTAAGTATAGTTACATTACATACTACCAGAGCACTAAGCTCGAAGTTGTTGACGAGTATGTTTACCTGAGACAAATAGCCCGACTAGGTAAGTCCAACTTCGACCGAGAGGTCAATCGACGGATTCAACTCGGCTGGGCAGCGTTCGGGAAGCTACGACACATCTTCTCGTCAGACATACCTCAAAACCTTAAAACGAAATTGTACAACCAGTGCGTGTTGCCAATGATGACTTACGGATCTGAGACGTGGTCCTTCACTGCTGGCCGTATGAGGAAGCCCAAGGCCGCTTAGCAAGCTATGGAGAGGGCTATGCTCGGAGTTTCTCTGCGTGATAAACTTAGGAATGAGGATATCCGCAGTAGAACCAGAGTAACCGACATAGCCCAACGGATTAGTAAGCTGAAGTGGCAGTGGGCCGGCCACATAGCTTGAAGAATCGACAACCGATGGGGAAGAAAGGTTCTCGAGTGGCAGCCTCGTACCGGTAGGCGAAGTGTAGGGCGACCCCCACGAGGTGGAGTGACGACCTGGTAAGACATGCAGGAAGTCGATGGATGCAGGTGGCTCAGGACCGTGCTTTGTGGCATTTCTTGGGGGAGGCCTATGTTCAGCAGTGGACTTGTGAAAGGCTGTAATGATGATGATGATGATAGTTACATTGCAACGAAAAGAAACGAAACAAAAGTTATGTTGAGAGTGCAATGCATATGTTGTTTCTTTCGTGCTCGTGCATTTAAGAAGTATAAATAGACAAAAGAAATATCGCAAAAAATATTGAAATAACTTCAATAGACCAAAAATACATATCACAAGGTTAACGTTTTTATCTACTAAGCTCATTTTATTGTAATTATAACATGTAATATATATATATATATATATATATATATATATATATATATATATATATATATATATATATATATATATGTTATCTGATGTATAAGTAAAGTAGTCACTCAATAGGTGCGTTTCATAAGAAACTGAAACACTGATACCTACTTCGGTACAATCACCTTGGCTAGAAACTCACTCTACTTAATTTAAACAAAAAACATTATTAAAACCAGTGACGCCTTCTCCATCACTAGTTACATTACTTTTCGTAAAAATCACTAACGCATTAAAACACTAGGCGCGGCCTCTAACTTCACCTGCACAACTCACCCACGGGCACGGGCCCGGTAGACCATGAGGCCAGGAAAGTACAGTACTCGGAAGTAAAAGCCTTCTTGACCCCAGCGAAGGATATGGTCTATGACTCCACCGCTAAACAAGTTTCGGCCGCGGAGGGTAGGGAAAACCCGTCCCGCCTCAGTTCACCAACGTCCAGAGTGAGCTAAGCAGGCGCAATCGAAGCGGTCACCTCGGGCAATCCTATACTTTGAGCCAACCAAGTAGGTTCCTCTCTGTTCACCGTGAATGACCACGCCACGGCTACTAATCCCCCCATCCCCGCGCAACGACAGCTTTGTCGTTGTAGGCATAGTCATTTGGGAGTGTAGTACCGCTCAGCTCCCTTGTATATCTCTAGTGGTAATTTAGCTTTAAGAGTAAATCAGGGGTGCTAGTAGAGCAAACTTACTTTATATCACTGAAATTATACGAAATTAAATCCAATTATAACAAACACAATTAATTTTTTTGCTTTTATTTTTATAAAGTAGGCTACCCAGAGACCAGAGAGCACTATTTCCAATTGAAGTTAATTTTAAAAAAGCGCCTGCTTGTTATCAACGAATGAGAAAAGTGCGATGTCTTGCTTATATCTTTTACTCTTAACAATAGTGAACTTACAAAAAATGCAATATAAAAGGGATGTTTTAACTCTCTCAGAGTTTAATTTAAATACATTGAAATTTTTATTTTGAACTGACTTGAAATAATGAGTAGGTTATATTAAATTCAATGCATAATATTATAACAATAAAGTTTTCGGAAACGCCTGAAACAATTTTAAAAATATTATTTATGAATAGTATAGTCACCGTAAGATAAAGAATGGTACTACCATTTTACTCTTATGTGTGGAAAAATAGGATGAAGTTTTTATTGTAACTATTGAAAAGACATGTTCGTACGTGGTAGAGCCGTGCTGCAGCTATATTAATAGTATAGTTGTAGCACGAGTGGGTCGGCTCGACCGGGGAAGGACCACGCTCTCACAGAATATCAGCGTAAAATAGCACCTTAATGCTGCCGTTTCGTATGGTGAGTGTAGAGAACCGGAGACCCTTTTTACTGGCAAAGAGGCATTCCATCTTAGTCCTCACGGGTGACAACGCATCTGAACTTATCCTATAAGAAAACATACAATGTACATTAGTACGCGCGACCGACGTACGTACACTGTATTACTTAGTTAACACGATCAACACGATCTGGCCATGTACCGGACTGCTCTATTATGTACCTAGCAATGAGGGCTAATAATATTCTGCTCGCCAGATGTCGCTAGTTGACACTAAGGTAAAGTTTTTTGTTACACAATGTAATTTAATTGAGAAATTGGTTTTTAATAAAAGTTTATTAGTTTCTAGAGTATTATATTAATACACAAAACAATGCGTCAGTGGTTTGGTCTTTAATTTTTTGCACATTATAACTTTTTTTAATTTTTCTACTTTTATGAATATCCGTGGTTTGGTTTATTTATTTTTAATCTTATTACATAATAAAAAAAATATAGGTAATAGTACAGAAAGAGACAATAATTTTTACATTTTCCGAACAAATTAACATCCCCGCTATGAACTCTGTCAAATATTATACCGCACTTTCTAGTGGCGCCACCCTGGTGGCAGAAAAAGTCGTGGATGCCCTCATTAATATACTCTTTGTCTTTGGTACATAGTTCCCATTATACTCTCTGTGGTTCCCAGTATTAGTTGTCTATGTGCAGTTAACATATAGTTTGACATTTTATTTTTTCAACAGTTGTCGCTGTCGGTCTGGTAGCGTTTGAGGTAGTTTGTCGGCTCATTATTTTTTTGTGTCAAATATTGTGGATAAAACCATTTAAATTGAACAAAACGCTTAAACCAGCCGTGTCCCAGGCATATTTGCTTTGTTAAACCGAAAACAAATAATTATTATTAACTTCACTTTTAAAGATTAAAAACGAAAAGATACTGTTTCTTGACAGTTAAAGGTTTTTGTTATTGTTTTTATACTGTACAATTTATTAGTGGTGTAATTAGTTTTGGTTTTGCTTAATTAGTTAAATATAAAGGAATTAATCAAAGAATTTAGAAATGTCGGCACATTAAATGGTGTGCATTTGAACATTGTTTTTATACGTTTTAGTGGCAACATCAGTGTTATATTTTTGTAACAGTGCATAGATCAAAAGAATCAAAGATGTCTAAGGTATCCCTCAGTAATGTGCCCTCAAATCCTCGAATAAATCGTCTGAGAACATTTTCAAGAGTAAGTATCTATATTTCTAGGTTTTTTAATCCAATTTATAGCCAAACGTATAATTTTTAGGTTATATTATTGTGTTGACCTTCATGCTAATTTTTAGCCTAAATATTTTTTATAGTAAATAATACCTAAATTTAACATTAAAATATTCAGGAATCATAGTGCATAATACATACTTAAGTCTCACGACTGTCACCCCGAGAGGTATAGGCAGTGACTTGGTACATTTGGAAGTATGAAAATTTGGTATGATCCTGACTCACCTCTCTTCCTTCTTTTAAATACATACTAGTTTGTTAAGGATACTCTTATGATTCATTGTGATCAGTAACAATATCATCATTATCGTTGTTCCAGCATTTCAAGAGTTGACTGCTAAGTATAGGCTTTTCGCAAGTAAAGCCACAAAATGTGGTCTTAAGCTAACTGCGTCCATATATGCCTGAGA